TTTTATTCTTCCTTTTGCTTTTTTTATTTCGTATAGAAAAATAAACTAAGTTTTATTGATTAGCAGGAAAAAAACGGTACATTTATAGTTTTCGTTGAAAAAAAAAAAAAAAAGAGAAGATAATAATTTGGGAATAAATGTTGCAGAACCTCTCAAAAGATCCAACGTTAACAAAGAGGGCAATTCAACGAGCAGCAGAGGAAAAGTTGTCTGGCAGATTCAATGTAATCTGCTCGAAGAGTGATTTCTCCTATGTTGCCTATACAGATACATTCTGTCAAGTATCAAACGGTGATATGACATGTTATGCGTTTAAGCCGATATAAATGGAGCAAAATATTAACAAGTTTTTGTTTCTCAAAAACTTTAAAAAAAAAAGAAGTAGAAGTCAAAGAAGAAACAAATCGTCTATAGTTGAAGCTATTAACTGCTATGGCAATGCGTTAAATTTGAAATTTTAGATGAAACAAATCAAATTAACTTGATTAACACCAAAAATTTCAAATCACTCTTTTCTGCTTTTCATCTCTTTCACTTTCACAACTCTCTTTTACCTCCACTGCCATCTCCACTCTACTAAATCATTATTCTTTAATCAAAAATTATAATCTTATTAAACTGGTTAGATAACCTTTTTTATTCTGTGTCCGTATTCCCCTGGCTTCATCTAAAAATTATTGAAAAAGAAAAAAGAATTTTACTGTTCGATTTTACAGCATACTTTTTATTGCAGTGTATGCTGTTTACAGTAATATTGACAAATATGGCTTCAACTTGAACGATAATTGTTATATGTAAACAACAAACTTATAGATTGTCGTTGTAATTATTATTATTATTATTATTGTTGTTTTTATTATTATTATTAAGCACAAAAGAAAGGAAAAAAACAAGAACTACACTCATCAAATTGCATTAGCAATAGTTTATATATGTACTTAATGTTTTTTTTCATTTTGTTTTCGTGTGTGTGTGTGCGCGTTTCTCTATCATTTTACGTTTTGTCTATAGCGTATTATTACTGTTTCCTTAATTAAATGTATGTTCTATTTCACCTTTTTTTTGCATGTGCATTTTTATGTGCGTTTGCCTGATATGAGTCCAATTAGTTGTCATCAGAAATACTCTTTTTATTCTTTTGTTCTTCACTTTATGCCTGTATTCCACCAACAACAATACTTTTGCTTCTGTAGCGGTATTAATTAAATCTGTTTTCGTTTTTGCTTTCTAACTTCTTCTTCTTTCTCTATAAGTACAGTTACTTAGATATTTCAGCAGTTTTGAAGTCAATATGTAGAAGGATAAAACTCCGGTAGCGCCGTATCAATTGTCTTTGGATTGTTGTTCGTCATGCTTTCTTGAGCTTTCTTTTACTTTCTTTTTAGTTTCATTTATTTTTTTTTATTTTACTTTTCAGTAATTTTTCTCTGACAAATATGTACCAGTCCTT